TTTTTTTTTATATGAATTATATATGATTGTGATTAAAACGAAAATCGTAGTTACGGAATCGCAATTTTATCAGTATGTCGTGGGTTTCGCAGAAATTAATCGAATGTTTCATACATGTTTCATACAATACATTGCAGAAACTTAAAACTTGATTTGAATTTTATGTTGTCTTTAAAATTAAACTAATATTACATTAGCCTAATGACAATAGAGTTTAATATAATATAATATTGAAAATACTCGATTAATTCAGCACATGTCCTGCAATCCGATTATATCATGAAAAAGTTAGATCGAATTAAAATATTTGTATCAATATCGGTATGGAAACGTCTCACGTGTCATCTCGAACAGAGCATCTTCATCAAACTGTGTGTGCGTGTATGGATGTACGTCAAATAAAAAAAGTAATTATAATTTACATTCTTTAGTAATTTAGTCTAAGTTCTAATTATGGGACGCAGTGCATTCAAAAAACAAACTATCAAAATTTTATAGGTTGTGTGAATACATGTGTTTGAGCAAGGAATGTTTGTGTACATTAAATTCGTGCTGCATTTAAAATTGAGATTATTGAATATTTAAGCTGTGAACAAAAATAAGGGTAAAATTATTTAACTGCTAAGTTCAACATTACATAAACTTGATGGACACAGGAATGGTACATACCAAGCCCAGTACACTCACATACATATATAGTGTACGTTTGTATATGCTTATATGCAAGTGAGCATATGTATGTATGTATGTATGCTGAGCGTTCAAGGTTTTTGCAAGACTAGTTCATTGAAGTTTACATGCTTGTTTATGAAAGTGTGTATACAGGCATGAAATATACAGGTGCATAAATACATATGTATATAATTGTATGTATTGGTTTTCCAAAAATGTCGAACGTACTAAATGTCTTACAATATATATATACATACATACATATATAGTAGTAGTTAATGTTTATGTATTGTTCAGTTGGTAGAGTGCAGACCGCAATTCGCTTGTAAGAAATTGGTAAATCAGTTAACGGAAATCGAATTTGAAATCACCAAAACTGTATACTCAACGCTATACTCGAACGTATTTCACAATGTCTGATCTTGGAAGCGGCGATGACGGCATGTCAGGATCAAGTAAGTTTCATTCTGTTCCGAAATGATCTTGTTCGTTTACACTATTCAAACGCTGAACTTTTTCATTAAGATTTTTGAATCGATGTTTAGCTTAATTCGTGTATTCAAATACTAAACATATATATGTACATACATATGTAAATATAATTTTTCAGAATATAATGCGAGCAATATGGAAGGCTCTTCAAGTAGAAATGATTTTGAATCGGGAAAAGGTAGGACATGAAAAAGCACACATTTATGAATCGAATTTTTCACTTATATACATATTATTTACTAATAATACATTCTCCCTCAGCTAGCAGTGCTGTAGAGCAGGAATTGGCAACAAAAATGCTTCAAATCCAATCGAAGCGATTTTACTTGGATGTTAAACAAAATCGTCGGGGACGCTTTATAAAGGTGGCTGAGGTATATATATCATTATGAATTCATATAACAGCTTAAGATGGACTGTATGTGCAATGCAAAATGCAATTCCATTTTAGACATCAAGGAATGATTAAGATGTTCAGGGTATTTCGTAGTCATGAACTAAACTAGAACACTCTCACTAAATACTAAAATACTAATTTATTTTTTTTTTTTTTTTTGTTTTTAGATAGGAGCAGATGGCAGACGAAGTCAAATATATTTAGCTCTGTCCACAGCAGCTGAGTTTCGTGATCATCTATCATCTTTTAGTGATTATTATGCATCTCTAGGTAGGATATTATTAAAGACTATTAACATTTTGTTTAGTGACATATCTTTGAGCTTAAAATCAAATCAAGTTAATCGAAACGCAGGGCCACCAAACACAGACAATTTACCGGAGGATGGCAAATTGAAATCAGAGATGATGATCAAGGACAATCGAAGATATTATTTGGACTTGAAGGAAAATGCACGAGGGAGATTTTTAAGAGTAAGTATGAAATTTTACCTTATGTTAATGTGTTATGATACAAATGGGCGTAATAGGAGTAGTTTGTGACTTCCTTAATACGAATGTGGAGCTATTTCTTATACCTTGGGCCCATTTTCAATGGGGAAATCTGGAGCGATTAGCCGAGTCGATTAGCCCTGCCCGTCTGTCTGTTTGTTCGGCAGTCTGGCCGTATGTTTGAACTCGTCAATCTCTCGCGATATATTATTTTCTATTAAAAATCTTATCGAAAGTTAGTTACATAATTATATCTCCTACACCCTTAGAGGTAGTCTGCAAATTTTAAATGTAGATGTAAATTTATTACAAAAAAAACTTGGATTTTTGTTAAAATTTACCCTAAACCCTCATATCCACCTCCTCCCCTTTCAATTTATAAAAGGCATATTTAAAATACTAATGTTTGTTTCATTTGCTGTTTCTTGTGTAAGCAGAAAATAAGTTATGTAATAATTATTGAAATATTAGTTGCTCAAAGAGTTCAGACTAAAACTTACTTGTTTGTTATAATCTACCCTCCACCCCCAAATCCACAACCTTACCCATATATTTGTACGAGACGCATTTCATATACTAGAGATTCGAGCCTAGCCATATGCACACTGCAGCCCTGAACCCTTTAAAAAGGAACTCACGATATATTAATTTTGTGCTGCAATTTTGCATGTGAGCTAACATTATGATTCTGAAAATACCGCCGAAAAATTATCCGCTCACTAGGTGGGGCAAACCGCAAAAGCTAATATCTAATACAGTTTAAGAGCTAGAAGCTTGAGTAACTAGTAATATCCTCTATCGACAACCCATACTCCTCTTTAGATGCGTGGTATATCAAATAATTCCTTGTAATTTTCACATTTTTAGAGCGTAAGCATATTAAAATTTTGTTACCTGTGCCTTGCATTTACTGTTACTTCGTTCTAAGAACTGACCAAATATGAAAATCGTGGAAAATCGGGAAAACTGCATTTTCTATAGTATTAGAGCTAAACTTAGCTGCTGATGGGATGTGGATTGATTTTTATACCCTGAAATGTATGTAACAGGCAGAAGGAGGCGTAGCAGACCCCACGAAATATATTCCTAATCAGGGCGACGAGCTGAGTCGATATAACCCTGTTCGTCTATCCGTTTGTTTTAACGCGTCGATCTCAGAAGATATTAGAGATACATTTGAACATTGACTAAGTTCTGAAATTAGAAATTAAATTATTCAACAAATAAATTCGTATAATATTGCCAGCACTGCAGCGCAGCCCAAGCGCAGTTAGTAGAGCGCGTTCTAATACTTGCATGTGTATGTGTTCAGGGTATCTCCTAATCGAGCAGTCTCGACTAAGCCTTCTTACTTGTTCTACCCTGAGCTCATTGAAAATGGGAAATCATGGTTATGTTAAAATTTATGTAACAGGCAGAAGGAGGCGTGGCAGACCTCACAAAGTATATATATTCTTGATCAGAGCGATGAGCTGAGTAGATTTGGCCCTGTCCGTCTGTCCGTATGCTTGAACGCGTCGATCTCAGAAGATATAAGAGCTAAATACTTGAACCTTTTTTAGATTGTCTGTATATACAGCGCGGATATCGAGTTTATCTCTAAAAGGCGATATGTCATCCCGGTATTTTGTTTATGAAATTTAAAATTTTGGTTAATATGCATTTTATTCGATTTCGATTTTTGTTAAAATTAACCCCCCGTTTCCAGCAGTGCGCGCAGATTGCTTAGAATAGCAAATTCAGAGTATCTCCTAGTCGAGAAATCTCGACATGAGCCTTCTTACATCGAGAAACGGCGGATGTAATGTTATACTAGAAAAATATGTATAATTTTTGACTATTTTGCTTGCTGCTTCTAAGATACATGTATAAATAATAATAATAATTATATAAAAACTTTTATAATTTAGGTTTCGCAAACAATAACAAGAGGTGGACCCAGATCTCAAATCGCATTGCCAGCTCAGGGCATGATTGAGTTTCGCGACGCGTTAACTGATTTGCTAGAAGAATTTGGAGCTAATGATACAGGGTAAAGTATTTCTAAACCTATTTAATTATCTCTGGAAAAAAACAAGTAGACTGCTCGACTAGGAGATATCCTGAATCCTGCAAGCAGATATTCTAATTATTCTGCACCACTTTTTATACACTAAACCCATTGAAAATGGGAAATCAAGGTATAATGGTTTTGTTAAAATGTATGTAACAGGCAGAAGGAGGCGTGGCAGACC